AGCCGCCCGGGCAGCGGGCCCCCCCCCGCCTGGGCGGCTTTGCTCCTCCCCCTGGTCTGCTGGGGGAGTCCAGCAAAGCCGCTGGATCCCCCCAGCAGACCAGGGGGACAGGAGCAAAGCTGCCCAGGCGGGGGGGGTCCCGCTGCCTGGGCGGCTTTGCTCCCGGGCAAACAAGCAAAGCCACCCAGCCGGCAGCTTTGCTCAGGTGTCCCTTGTCTGCTGGGGGGGTCCAGCGGCTTTGCTGGACCCCCCCACAGCAGACCAGGGAGACCGGGAGAAACTTTCCTCGCCCCGGAGGACACGGGTGGCGACCCGCCGCCCGTGAGCTCCGGGGCGAGAAAAGCCCCGTTCGTGAGTGCGGATCCGACGTAAGTCAGATCTGCGTAAGTCGGGGACTGCCTGTATTTGAAAAAAAAAACAGTTGTACAAAAGAGAGGGAGTCATGAATAGTGTAGCACCATGTTTTTATGTAGGAAGGATGTTAACACTTTTTTGGAAAATAGGTTTTAAATAGCCTGAAGGGAAATATGAAAATACCTGAAGGATAGCTTGTGGTCTGGCAGAGTATGTTTGAGTATGTTTTCTTGGAAGAGGAGATTTCTACTTATGGAGCCCCACTGATAAATCAAATCTCATACAAATCAGGCACTTAGAATTTGTGTGAAGCACTCTTGAAAAAACATTTTTCTTCTTGAATAGATTCATATAAAATATTTGGGTTTTTGTCTTCAGGCTTGTGATGGAAAATTTAGCTAACAAAAAATGCGTCATTTAGATACTTCAAGGCCTTTGTTAAAATAGGGAGGAAAAAAACCCTCCAGAATAATCCTTTCATTAGCGCTCTTCCCCTGTTTTAACAGTAACATTGGTTGGTCTGCATTGCAAGATGCTCAGGTTGAAACTCAACCTGCTTGCTAATTTAGGTCAGTGTGCCTTCTTTGTTAATCTGAAATGGTGGGTTAGCATAATTGATTAATCAGTTTCACTCCAGTTCTCTACTTTCAGTCCTGCAAATGCATGTAACTTATTCCACAGCACAGCCTTAAAAGGGTATGGTGCATGTTCGTGTGTTAATACAGTTGCACACAAAAATCTCTCAGTGAACAGGACATTTCTGTCCTTTGCCTGTATATAGATATGAACAATCGAACACCCAAGTAGAGAGGTGCAGAATGTGAAAATGTTTATCTTGCTGTTATACAGTGTGTGAAGAGTGCATACATTTACAGATTGGTATGAGAGAGAAAACTATGCATTGCCTATTTTTTCCCATGGTTTGTGTCAGGCATTTCCTGGTTGCTTCATTTTAAATCTTAACTTACCTCCATTTTTTTAACAGCAACTTTAATTATGCCTGAACCTCTTGTTCTTCTAATTTCCTCATCCCTTATCTTTAATATGTATAACTTTTTTTTATTGCTCCCCAACGAGGAAGTAAGAGTCAAACTTTAATTTTGCTGAGACAGGATCTGAACTTGGTGAAAAGCCACAACAGTTTCTCGTTCGTAGTATTCTTTTTCTTCACCTATGAATGGGAACAATACCTGCTGGTTTCTTGGTCACAGGAAGATTCCCTGCAGTAGCAAACTGCTTAGGCCACTTCTCCCCTCCAGATCCATGAACTGAATAGTCTCCTTTCCACGCTGCCCATTTCTTTTGTCTTAGCACATGGAGCATTCACTTGAAAGTGTGTACACTGCCTGCAGAATAGATACAAAACCCATCGCTGAAGCATGCCACTCTGGGAGAGAGAATGAATTTAAGCACAAACTAGTATTCTTCTGCATTCACATTTTAACTGGTGGGGAAGGGATATGGTGATTACTTTTAAAATCTGTAATTTGGATTGTCAGAGGGTCTTTCCTTATAAAATCTATCCCTTCACCAAGCTTGTTCTGTATTTTCTCTTCATGAGAAGGAGAGATCAAGGCTGGTGCATGTACCATGGAATGCCTGTACCATGAAATGCCTGATTGCTTTATTAGGATCAATTAAGTTAATCTATTACAACCATTTTGCTACACTGAAATCACGTTCAACTTATCTAGGCATGTATGTGTATGTATAAAAGCACTAAGTTATTTCTCAAACCCAAAAGGGTTTGCTTTGTTTTATACAGGTATTTTTCGTAACTCATGTTGAGCATGTGGACTGATTTGCTTCTTTTCTTTCAATGTAGGTAAAAGTATGGATGAAATTAAGAAGATGTTGCTGTTGGTGTTGGGCTGTGCTGTACAGGTGAACATGCTTATAGAACTGCAAAATATTTTAATGTGTCATTTGAATCTGATTTCAATGCTTGCACTTATTATTTTTGTAGCACTTAAAAGTGCCAATCAGTGATCCAAGTTCTATTATGCTAAGTGCTATATGAACAAATCCCCGTTCCCAGACAGTTTGTGGTCTAGAATTATAAGACACAACAGGTGGATGAAACAGAAATACAAGGGGAAAGGAGAGGGCAGTAAAATGAGCAAATTTTGCATAATAAACTTATAGCCTCAATTTGCCACCTGCCTTGCCACTGTTTGAACCTGTGCTTTGATAATTAGTCAATCCAAATGGTTGGCATGCAGTAATTTCTGCAGAATGTGAGTTTGAACAATTTCCTTAATCTAATGATTATTACAGATTGGTTGTTTGGTCTTAAAATATGTAGGAATATAGTGAAGTACATGAGTGCAAAAAGAATAGATAAACCGACATCTAATCACTGTCTTCTAAAGAATCTTACTCAACTGCACCTTTCATTTTCATATTATGTATAAATAGAAACTCCTAAATGAATGGGAATTTTCTGTGGCTGCGTGAGGGTTTTATGCTGTGTTGTTAAACCAAATAGACAACCAATATGCATGGGTAAATTGTCCTTAAACTCATGACAGTTAACCAAATAAAGGGATCAGTGTCCTGCACACCAGAGCTCTGTGTTTGGCATTCCACTGGAAACTGTCATAACCGACAATAGGAATTTTGCAGGCTAGTCTTTGGTTATAATTGACCTTGTTTGTGTGCCTGTCTAATGTTCTTGTCATGCTTTAGGACATTCTCCTTGCCCAGTTATGTCAAGTCAATTATGTCAGAGTGGTGCTCTCTTCATTTGGCTGTTCAGAACTTTATACTTACTAACACGTTTTAACACAAACAATAAAAGTTATGATTCGGTAAGGAGTTGGAGCTGAAGAGCCTCAATTCCCTTTTAAAGACCTGTACTCCTTCCACTCAGAACTGGGCCAAAACCAGCACAGTATATAAGAGAATCAACAGAAAGCAATGTTCAACTTCTCTGTTTCTTCAGTCTAGAGATTCTGACAGCTTGAGGTCCCAAATTTACACTGGCTGTCATTTTATGGCCTTTTGTTTTTAAGATTTATATAGTTAATTTGATAGAAATAGACTTGTGAAGCTATGTAATTAAAATGTCATTTATTTTTCATTAAATATTTTCCACTGTGGCATTCTACTAAAGACATATTTAATTAGAGCCCAAGAACCAAAAAATGAAGCCCTTGTGAGCAGAATCAAAAGCAGACCAACTGATCTGTTGTCATTGCTCAAAATGCAAAAAGTGATCAGATAGTTTAAATGATATAAAGTTAGGGCCAAATCCACAGCTGGTTTATGTAGGTGTAGCTCCTTTGAAATCAGTGGAACTTTGCTCATTTACATCCGCTGTGGGTCCTTGATTTTCTGCTTGTGGGGCCTGTGTTTTTATTGTTTTATTTTTTTTCTTTTACATTTAACTTAGCCTGAAGTTAAAAACTTTTGGCAGGATTCAGTCACCTTTACTCTCATGGCATAGTCATTTACTCCTCAGTTAGTTCAGTGATCTTGTAGAGCATGTACACACAGTAAGGCGTTAGCTACTCAATGTAAGCATGAGAGGGTTTGGCCCTTGGGCTATGTCTAGACCACACAGAAAAGTTGGAAGAAGATATGCAAATTGTGAATCACAATTTGCATATCTTTTTCTGCTTTTCTTTCAAAAGAGGCTGTTCTGAAATTTGGAATGTCTGCCCGGTGCCAAATTTCAGAAAAACCTGCTCTTTCAACATATCCCTTATGCTTCGTAGAACAAGGTTTACGGGGATGGCAAAAGAGCATGTCTACTTTTTTCAGAAAAGCGGGCACGTTCCTTGGACACGGCATTGCGTTTCCGGCATACCAGAGGTATCCCGGAAAAGCGTTGCAGTCTAGACTTAGCCTTAGTGTCGCAAGTGTCCTATTAGCTGTGCAGAGGTGTTCAAAGAAAATAACAAAGAAAGAGAGCTATGCTCCCATTTTCAAATGAAGTGTGCCTTTGTTTTCTTGTTTGTTTGCAGTGTGAAAGAAAGGAAGAGTTTATTGAAAGAATAAAACAACTGGATATTGAGACCCAAGCTGCAATTGTTTCACACATTCAGGAAGTAAGTTCTCAGCACTTAAAGCTTTCTTTCTTTTTTCCTTTCTCCTGTGGGTTCAATAGTATTGTTTATTTTGCTTTGTAATACCACAGCTTAACTTTTCTTAGTGGCACTAATGGGTTTAACACAGAGAAATGTATATTAGGCTTGGAGGTGTGGTTTCCAGCTTGCATAGACATACCCAGGCTAAAAATATCCTGGATAGCATGGGGGGCAACTTCAGCTATTTGCCGAATATGTGCCCATCTGAACCCATTAGGTACGTGGTAGCCCAAGCCACCTTCTCTTGCTACTCCATCTATGCTGCCTTTTTACTATGCTAGCTTGAACAGAGCTAGCTCAGGTATGTCTCTGTGAGCTGGGGATCACTATTTCCTAGCTTACAAGTAGCTACACCCTCTTAAGTGCAAACAAATTAAAGGGTAAAGATTACTAGGTGGTGGAAACGTAACTGGCGTCATCACTGCTCAGAGCGGCAGTCATAAATGTCGTAACTGCCAAGCACTGGCTCAGACTGATAGTAGTTTTAGAAAACTACACAAAAGAGGCTTCAGGTAAAATTTCCAAAAGCACTTCAGTTATTTAGTAGCATGAGTATTATTTCAAAAGTTACTTGGAGCTTAACTCCCATTAAAAGGCCAGAGGCACTTTTGAAATTGGGATTTAAGCACCCACAAAATTTAACTGCTTTTGAAAATACTATCAATGGTGAAAAAATTATTTTAGTCTTTTTAAAATGGTATAATTTGGTGACAATTGTCTGCTGGATTCCAAATCCTTCTTTAAAAGAAAATAATGTTTGCTCGAACAGCAGCTGTCATCTCACTTCCCTGAGTTCAGGTGAAGCTTTCCTCAAATGCCCTCCGCCTGACAGGCCTCAGTATAAAATGCACATTCTCTCAGGGTGTGCTGGCTTCATCTCATGCAAAGGCAAACAAAACAAAAGTAGGACAGGCAGATGGGGAACACTTCCTGTTAGAAGATGTTGATAATAGCTTTTTCATATATTTTACAATCTGCTTCTAAAAGCATTTCCCACAGACTAGAAATTTCATTCACAAACTAAGGAATATAAAGAACACGGTTGTAGTCAAAAACATGCTTAGTCCTAAATGTGGACACATAGTGACTTGAAAAGAACCTTTTTAGTCTAGTGCAGTTTTCAGCAACATCGCTTGGAGAAAAGCAATATTAGAGAATTACAGTTAAAAAAAAATCCATGCCATATTAGATCATGGCCCCACTGCAGCGGACCGCTGCCCCACCAGAGCCCATTGGCATTTGGCCACACTGCAACCGGCTCAGTTGGACTCCTGCAGCAGGGCTCCCAGCCGCTGGCCTCCCTGAAACTAGCCTGGCTAGGTTCCCAGCTCCCACAGGGCCTCCTGCCTCTGGCCCTCCACCGGGTCAGGCTGGTTCAGCAACATCCATGGTGTTGCTGGACCATGGAAGTTGCCAGACAAGGGAATCCCGGTTGAGAGAGGTCCAACCGGTAAATGTGCATCTTGTTCTTGTTTTGCAGGTGACTCATAACCAGGAGAATGTGTTTGACTTGCAGTGGCTGGAGCTCCCAGATATGGCCCCTGAAGAACTGGAGTCTCTCTCAAGGAATATGGTTTTTCATCTCAAGAGGCTTATTGATGAGAGAGATGAGTGCACAGAAGTATGAATGAGAGATATTCTCATACAGTTTATTTTAGGGATCCGACATAGGCTCTGCTTTTCTATTGTCTTTTCCTTGTGTTTCATATAAGGCTTGATCTCTTCTATTAAATCTGTAAAAATTGTAGCCCTTAGAGCAATGTTTAATCTTTCCTTGCTGCTCTCATAAACTATATTCTTGAGCTACAGAGAATTCCTTTTGGAAAGAAAAGTGTGCAGGAAACACAAGATGCTCTGTTTTTTGAATTTTCTTCAAAGGTTTTTTCTGTTATACTTCTCCTCCATTTTTCTCTGTGGCAGCTTCTCTATCCTCCAAAAGTATTTGCCTTCTCTCTAGCTTAGGTCACCAGTGACATCTTTCCTCTGCATCTGTGACTCATCAGTTAATCTTATTTCTCATATCTGCTAGAAACCTCTAGTCTTCCTGGCCTAGATCTCTTCACTTACCTCTCTTCCTACCGTTCATGATCTGACTCTGAATTAATTAAAGCTATAAATTTGCTGCAGTTTTTATAAAAACTCTAAGTAAAATAAAGTCCTTATCTGAAGCGCTGGGAAGTAGTGCATGCCAGTGGTTGTCCTAGGACTGGGAATCAGAATTGTGTTCTGTTCCTACTGCTGTCTCTGCCGTCAGTGTGTGACATAAGGTAAATCACCTGAACCTTCTCTGCCTGAATTTCCACATCTGTAGAGTAGGCTAATAATTACCTGCCTTTACAATGTACTTTGAGATACTTGAATGAAAGGAGCTATAAGTGTAATGAATTGTTATTCCTTGTAAATGCCACTTGCTACTCTATGTTTCCAGCTGATTGTGGATCTCACTCAGGAGAGAGATTATCTTCAGTCTCAGCAGCCATCAAGTCCTCAGAAAACATCTAGTCCAGATTCTTCACCAAACCTAGCCAATCAACTCTCCAGTGAAGACAAGCAGCACCTGGGTGTTGAGCTGGCAGACATGAGAGCGAAACTGAGAAGGGTGCGACAGGAATTGTGAGTCACTAAATGCCTGGTGTAGTAGAGAAATGATGTCTATCTCAGGTTCCTTGCTAACAGTGTCACTTAAACATGTAATAAGTCTCAATCTGCAGCATTGGGTTGCCTATTGGCTTCAACATGCCCACTTTTCTGAGAGATCTACATGTAGCACTTGGTCTTCTAGGATTTTTGTTTGTTTTTGTATTGTTTAATGAAAGGATGTGTGCAAAGTAGCTGGCCTAGCCTTCTCTCATCTTCCCTCTTCTTAACATGCCACCAGTCTCAAGCCTCCATTAATTTGTCTGTCTTTTCCTCTTCTTGCCTTCACACATCCCTCACATTTTCTTCCCCTTTTCCTTCGTTCCTTCCCGACCTCATGCCATCTGTAAGTTTTCAAAGACTCTCGCTTCCAGTTGAGTTTTCCCTTCCTCACTTGCATACACATTCCTCTCTCTTGGCAATGATTGTTGGGAAAGATTGGTTACCATATTCAAAAGGGCAATGGCTGTGTTAGCTGTGGCAGCAGGAGTGGCAGGTGAAATGATCATTAAAAAAGATACAGTGCCAAACTTCCTTTGGCAAAAGGCACTACAAGGAAACATCTGTAGCTCTTGGTAGTTTTGAGACTGGATTAGCACCAAGAAAATCTATGAGGTCTCATGTCCAGATTACACTTGTAGACACCTGTGACTCATACCTCCTGCATCTTGGCATGATGTTAATACATACCATAAGTATTGTTTGAGGAACCCTTGAAGTAGTTTTATACTAAGTTTCCCTAATCATTTTCAGGGAAGAAAAGTCTGAGCAACTTGTGGACACCAAGCATGAAGCAGAACAGCTTGTGCTAGAGCTGCAGAAAATAAAACAAGAAGTAAGTGGGGCTTCTCTAATTGTAACACTGCATCACTTTTGCTTTCAATATTGAAATAAAAATGCTTCTCATGAAATTTGAATGATGGAACCAGCTGACTGCAGTGTGTTATGTATAGGTCTGATTGTGACAGAGCAGTGCAGTGCTTGTGAGAGCCGGTCTCATCTGCTCAGTTCACCAACTAATGCCTGGAGCATACACAGTGTGGATCATTGACAACTGAAGAATCCAATTTTAGGCAGTTGTAAACTCAATTCTGCAATGAGTTTGGTGGCTTATTGAAGAGTTCCCCACATTTGCAACTTTGGAACACTGTTGGCCTACCATTCACTTCTGCTTGTTTAGACTTGGGGCAGTGTTGTTAGTTTTACCAGCATGAGAGGGTTAATTTTATTATATTCTGTTTGTCATTTTCCCCAGAACATCCACCTGGCAGCTGATGCACGCTCTGCCCGAGCATATAGAGATGAACTGGACTCACTGAGAGAAAGAGCAAACCGAGTCGAGAGACTTGAGATGGAATTGGTCCGGTGTAAAGAGAAACTGCATGATGTGGATTTCTATAAAGCTCGTATGGAGGTAAGTGAAGATCAGGAAAAAAAATTTCTGGTGCCTGCCTCATTTCTCCCAGTGCTGTTCACCAATTCGTGCTTCATTTGTAATCACATTTGACTCTACCTGCAGATTGAAGAAAATTGAAGTTCCAGAAAATACCTGATAGATGGGATTTTTGGAAGCACCCGGCAATGGCCTAACTCTGCTTCCCCATTAGTGTCAGTGGTGAAACTCTCATTAGTGAGAGCAGGGGTAGGCTAGTGCCGAAAAGCTCTCTCATTAGAGATCTGTTGGTTCTCCACTATGTGGCTGACTGTAGCAGCCCAGTTCTTTGACAGTATGAGTTTGGATCATCTTTGCAACTTCATTGCAGTACATTTTCAAGCTGTATATGTCCCAGAGTTGATTATTTAACCAGCATTTTCCATGTAAGTGTAAATTCAGATAGCAAACTGTGGGCATTAAAATCTGCAAATGCTGGCCTTATAAACAACAGAGAAACTGCCCTTAAGTGGAGGGCTTCATCTATATTTTCATGCTATTAGTAATACAGTTTCTTCTGGTTTAGCCATTTCAGGCTTCTGCCCATCATAGTTTCACTTCCTTTTTAGGTCTGTGAGCTAATCTCATATTTCTTTTTCCCCCTAAAACCAAGAGAGAGGACAAGCTGAGGTTATTCCCCATTATTCGGCACTGGTGAGGTCATAACTGGAGTATTATACAGGCAGTCCCCGGGTTATGTACAAGATAGGGACTGTAGGTTTGTTCTTAAGTTGAATCTGTATGCAAGTTGGAACTGGTGTCCAGATTCAGCCGCTGCTGAAACTGATCAGTTTCAACAGCGGCTGAATCTGGATGCCAGGTCTGACTTACATACAGATTCAACTTAAGAAACCCAGGCGTCCCCAAGTCAACTGCTGCTGAAACTGATCAGCGGCTGATTCCAGGAAGCCTGGGGCAG